CTAGAACATGGCCACACAGCCCGAAAAAACCCACAAAAAACCAATAGTTGCTTTTGTTTAGCCAGCTTGAATAGTTGAATTTTATGGCCTAAAGACCCTAAAGGCATCAGATCCTGTCTGATCTTGGAAGTTAAGCAGGGTCAGCTTTGGATAGTACTTGGATGGGAGACTGTCAATGAATACTAGGTGGTGTGGGCTCTATTTTGGAGAGAGGGACTCTCGCCTATTTCTTGCACCAAAAAATTCATAGGGTTGCCATAAGTCAACGGATGACTTGAAGGCACATACCCACATTGGCAAACTAAGGCTGCACAGGAGAATTAACACAGACATCACCTTAACTGCCCTGGCCCAATGCTATGGAATCCTGGGATTTGTAGTTTTATCTGTCTGAGAGCTCTGGTGCTACAACAAACTACAAATCCCAGGATTCCATAGCATGGCACCATGGCAGTTAAAGTGATGTCAGACTGCATCATTTCTGCAGTGTGGATGCAAGAAAGATTGCTTATGTTTCTTCAGACAGAGATTTTGCTCTTTTAACAAGTATGTGACAGGTAGAAATGCAATAGGTTTAGCAGGACATTCCTGAATTTCTGTGCAGGTGAAAACATGAAGACTGGTTCCTGCTGTCTCAACTTTTGATTATTGGTTTTAATGTTTTTCTTTCTGACATAAAGGGGGGTATTTCTACTAGAAGGATGACAATTAGAAATTAAAAATAACATTGTTACTTACAACAAGTTCCTCCTCACCCTCTGATGTGAGGCTATAGTTAAGTTATATTTCACAAATAATACATGGGAATGAAGTTCCTTTATGAGTGTAGTGGATAACAGTTTAGTTACTTTTTAAGCTTACAATTCAAAGCCACTTTTAGCCATTCCGATAGGAATTTTTCAAGTGTAATGCCATTTGCTTCTCCAGGTTAATGTTCCTCCCCAAAAGAAAGGAAAGAAATGAAACATCAGGAGGTTGCAACAATAATACAAATTACTTTCTAACATTGCAATGAGTGATGGGAATTAATTAGTTTTTCAACACTATTGAGTAACAGGAATGAACTTTTCAAGTAACTTTCCAAGCTCTTATCCTCCCACAGTTCTTAAGAGTCATAACAGAAATTTTAAGAAATGCTTTCTTGAAAAACAGTTGAATTTTTTAATGTTTCAGGTATACTTTTGGGTTACAGAAAAATATTATGCATCTCTTTGACCCCTAAGAAATGTACTGCAACTATCGTTCTATGCTGCCACCAAGCAACACAATACTTCTCTCTAAATATGCCCAAGTTCATATAAATGCAATTTATTCAGAGAGTCATATATGATTTAAAAGACTAGTTTAAGACTGCTATTCAAATGTCATAGCATAGCCAGGCATTTCTGTATTCTTTACTATCTCGGTACTACTATTATTTAATGTGATATAAATGATGCTGATGTTATTAGTGTCATAAAATTATGTTTTGCTCTGCCAAAGAAAGAGAGTAATGACATTTACTACCTGAATTTAATTCAATACAGTATCATCTATTGAGAATTGGTTTAAAGGGCTAAGTTTCTTACTTAAAGCTATCTTCATTTTCAATTTTGTTAAGGTTTTTTTTAAAAAAACAAAAACAAAAAACCTCACACTTTTGGTGAGTCTTTTGGATGATGCACAGTACATTTATATATTGAAGTATATTTCACAGATCCATCAAAGATAGATGGATTCCAGCTGAAGGGAATGTATAAACTGGGAAGATAATGCATGAGCGATAGGATTAGCATTTTGCTAGAGGTGGGGATTATAACTATATGTGCACAATGGCTGGAAAAGATCTAGGCATGACGTTCCTTTGCTATTCAACAGAGGAGTAATTTTTATCTCTTGGCCAGTTCTATATTTTTGAAGTTCTGTATAAAGGCATATGCAATGATACAGCAGGTTTCTGTGTTTGTGGTGGTTACCTACAGTAGCTTGGTTCTTCTGAAAGGCTTAATATACAATGCAATTGGGAACCAGTGGGCAACAACTCAGGCCTCCAGTGAGGTGCACCCTAGACATTTTTGCACCCTACACATTCTTCTCCACTTCTGAAATATATTATTCAATATAAAAATAATATTTTATTAATATAATATCGATGTTGTGATATAGATGTGGATATTTATTTGTTCATTTGTTTGCTTGTTAAAATATTTCTACTCCACCTTACATCAAAAGATCTCAGAAAGGCTCACAGATAACATTAAAACAACAATAGATACACAGATATGAGGAAGTTTGTTTTCTGTTGCTCCAGAGACTAGGACCCGGAACAATGGATGCAAGCTTCAGGAAGAGAGATTCCACCTCAACATTAGGAGGAACTTCCTGACAGTAAGGGCGGTTCGACAGTGGAACACATTCCCTTGGAGAGTAGTGGAGTCTCCTTCCTTGGAGGTCTTTAAGCAGAGGCTGGATGACCATCTGTTGGGGATGCTTTGATTGGGAGTTCCTGCATGGCAGGAGATTGGACTGGATGGCCCTTGTGGTCTCTTCCAACTCTATGATTTAAAAAAATCCACGGCCTCACTTTTCTCTACCCACTGAGCCTTGCCCCACTCATGCCTTCTTTTTTGCTAAGTTCTAGGATTTTAAAGGGATGCGGGTGAACATCACAGTCCATTTCTGCAAAAAGGTATATATTTTGGGACCAGTGGTATCACTCCCCTTAGGGTGTCACCCAGTGTGACCTATGCCCCTCACACACCCCTAATGACACCCCTGCACTCATATGCTCCTTGTACCAGTCCAAGTCAACTGTTTGGATCAATAGAAATTTTCAAAGGAAACTCCATGTGAGGCCATTGCAATAATCCAAACAGGCTTTGTATCATGTACATAATAGTCAATTTTATGAACAATACAACCTTTTCATATTGCCCTTCCTTTATGTAAATATCTTATCTTCAGTTCATGTTTATGCTCAATTGGTATGCCATTTTTATTTTCTGTTACCTTGCATAAAAGGCCAAACTATTAGCCTATGATCCCAGCAGTCAAGTATAAAATTCCTAACCCCAGTTTCATAAGAACCCACATTTTATCTACAGATTTCGCAGCACCCAGATTTTGCAGCTCAGAATTTTTCTTCTTGCATTTACACTGTTCTCATCATCATTCATAGACTGAATTTGGAGACTTAATCTTTCTCATCAAACATGATCATCTTTCCATCTCTTGCCATTAGCTTTAGAGCTTTGGAAGGGAGGGGGCTTATGAAAAGCAGATAGGTTTACCAGCTAATGCACTGATGTGGTTGATAGCCAAGGATAATTTGATCGAAAAAGAAAAGGGGAGGGAGAGACCAGGTTTTTCATTAGAGTATTACTGCTCTCACACAATTCAAACTGAGCTACAGCTAATAACAAAAGGCAACTGGAAACAAAAATTTGCAATAGGTGTATTTACATTTCCAGATCATAAGCCTAAAAGCATTTAGATTAAATTAATTTCCACTGGTGTGCATGCTGGAGCATTTATCCCCAATAAATGTAAGTGAAAATGTGTCGAAAGGTATTGGAAACTAACCTATTAGGGTTACAAGGAGCCAAAGAAGACGAGATAATGAATTACATTATAAACTCAAAGGAGAGAGAAACAGATTTGAGAAGGACTAAGCAGGGGGTAGATATATGTAAGACAAATACCTTGTATGAGGTTCAGCAGCATATACTCAGTACTTTGTTTCCTCTTTACACCTCATTTAATCCTCGTAGTATAATGATGTAGAAAGAGGGAGGGGGAATTATCATACGGCCTTCAATTGTAAGTGCTCTTTTCTTTCTTCCTATTTTTCAGTGAACTGGCAGTCAGAAGGTGTCTTACCTATTATATTTAACCTTTACTGGTACATCACTTTTTGCTTTAGTTACTTGGTATCTCCTTCTTTTCCATTATCCCTTGAAGCAATCCCTCTACCCTGCTTCATAGGAAAGCCCCCTGTTAGGGAAAGTCAATGCAAAGTGTGGGAGTGCTGCATTCAGAGAAACCTTTTTCCTGTGGCTTGCTTGACTGAGCAGTAGCAGTTTTCTGTGCTGACCTGCCTCTTCCCTTGCCAGCAGCATCAGCATGATGTGAAAAAAATAATTGCCCTGCTGTCTCCTCCTGAGCAAACGTCTACGAGCTTCAAGATAGTAGGAAAACTCAGCTTTTGACTTGACAAGTTTTTATTCATCTGCTATCAATGTCAAAAAAAATGGCCAATGCAAAGAATTAGCCCTTGGATATAGAGGCCAATACAGTGAGTAAATATATTTGGCCACAAGGTAGATAGTGTTTTTCATTTAAAAAGGAGACAAGCTAAGGATTTGACCTTAGTTCATCCAATAACAGGTATAGAAAAAGTTATTTTTTTCAACATGTGTGCTCAGATTTAGAAGGGTTTGTGTATCCAATATAGAGAAAGTTGACCAGGACTAATTCACTTAAAATAATAAGTTTTTTTGTTGTTGTTGTTGCCTTCTTGTCATTTCTAACATTATGATGACCCTACGGCAAACCTATTCTGGGGTTTTCTTGTCTTGTTATTCAGAGGAGGTTTGCCATTGCCTTCCCCTGAGACTGAGAACATATGACTTGCCCAAGGTTATTCAGTGGTTTCATGGCCAAGCTGGAAATTGAACCCTGGTCTCCAGAACTGTAGGCCAACACTCAAACCACTATGCCACATTGGCTCTCCTAAAATTATAAGGCTTATTATAATAAACTACTGGAAAATCTTACACTTTCCCTCATGCTAGGATGGCATAGTGCACTTCATCTTGTCTCCCTGCTTCCCCTCCCTGCATAAATGAATTTAATTTCTACATGAATATCTGAGAAGTGTCAATTAGTTTTATGAGTATTCATTTGGAATGTGACAGAAATGTGATGCTTCTCTTTTCTCTCCTATTTTTTGTTTTTGCTACAGATGAAACTCATGAATGTAGGGAAGACGAGGAGGTAGGAATGAAAAGAAGAGCACCAATTGGTATGGGTTAATGGGAAAACATGTTCTGTGCCTCCATGTCCACCAATCTGTGTCTCTGAGGATGGTAAGCCATCTTCTTTCTCTTCCTCCTGACTAGGGTTTTATTTTGTTTTTTTTTTCCTATCTCTCCTTTGGAAAACTGGAAAACAGTATGGACACTCAGTGACAGTGGTGCTTTCTGCTGCTCCAGAGATTAGGACATGAGCAAAGGATGCAAACTACAGGCAAAGAGATTCCACTCAAACATTAGGAAGAACTTCCTGACAGCATGAGTTATTCTTCACAACTTTCTTCCCCCCCCATCTTGTCTTTCTCCCTCTTCTTTTGTTTTCCTGCCTAAATCCTTATAACTGACAGCCATCATGTTTGAGGGAAATAGTTTCCCTGTTCACAACTGTTGCTCCCCATTTGTAAGATGACCGTTTGCAGGCAAATAACTTCATTCTAAACTTCACTTGTTTTACTGTTTTAACTCTCTTTATACCTAGATAATCCTTCCCCCCCAACTCCTTGCTCTAAAACTATTACTGAAGTGCCATCATCCCCTCCTTCACTCTCCTGAATGCAAATGGCTCTTGCCACTTTCCCACTTTAGCACTACTATTAATGTGCCACCATTTTCTTGTTTTGAACATGCAATTCAGCCTTGACTTTTGCAGCTTTGACACTCACAGCTTTGATTATTTGTGAGTTTGTTGCTGCATGTGCCTGCACTCTTCCCTCTCTTTCCTGGGCTTTC